TGAACGATCGGCAAGTGTATATACCTAAACCTGAACCTCTACCCAAAGAGGAACCACCAACCAGCAAACCCTGCGATATACGAGCTAAAGAACTATAACGCAAACAGCCCGCAGAGCCCCCATTGCCACACCCTCTATCACCGCCACCGTCGGGGCCCTTCTCTAGCCCCCTACTGCCTGAACCCTTGCTGAAACCCTTTCTCTGTGATCCCTTTTCTATACTATTTTCTAAACCCTTCTCGTCTATAGTACCCTTGTATACTCCCCCATCTGCTTCACTCCTAGCTAAACCCTCGCCATCCTCTTCACCCTCATGCAAACCCTCGTCTGCCGCCATATGCGATGTAGACAAAACACCATCTGCTTTCTCAGATGATAAAGAAAGAGAAGGAACAGAACCAGAAACCCCAGATATGCAAGAAGAGGAGGAGGAGGAGGATGCTGCTGCTGTTGCTCTATGCAGGATCTCTCCTGCTGCGCTAGGAGGATGTCCCACTGCAGCAAGCGTTTCCGCTGCTGCTGCTGCTGCTGTTGCTGCTGCTGCTGATTCGTTCGTGCTGCATTTGCAGCAGCTCGATTGCCGGCTAGCTGCCGATCCGTCTGCTGCTGCTGTCGCTGTCGCTGCCGCTGCCGCTGCTGCAGCTGCAGCCGTAGCCGTTGCTGTTGCTGTTGCTGTTGCTGCCGTCGTCGTTGCTGGTGGTCCAGTGGTTGCTGCAGCACTGCTACTGGACTCTGCGCTCCAGGATCTTTGCCGAAACCTCGACGGCGGCGTTTGCTGTTCGTGTTTCTGCTGCCCCGTGAAGGTAGCAGCAGCAGCTGCTGCTGCTGCCATATCCCTTACAGCAGCTGCAGCACAAGCAGCAGCAGCAGCAGAAGCTGCTGCTGCAGCAGCAGCAGTAGAAGCTGAAACATTTCCAAATGCAGGTTCACTTTGTCTTTCTCTCCGTCTCCGAAGCAAAACCTCACGGGGTGGGCNGAAACATTTCCAAATGCAGGTTCACTTTGTCTTTCTCTCCGTCTCCGAAGCAAAACCTCACGGGGTGGGCCCTGGGGAGAGGCAGCAGGGGAGCAGCAGCAGAAGCTCTTGACGCCGCCAGCACTTGTATCTGTTGCTGCTGCTGCTGCTGCTTTGTGTGTGTCAGGGGTAAGCCAGGAGTGGCAGCAACGATGAGGGGGAGGAGAAGAAGATGCTATGCGGCGAACAGCAGCGGCGTTGTCTGCTGCAGCCCCCATACACTCTCCCTCTGTTGCTGCCTGTTCAGCAGCAGCATCAGCAGCTTTTGCTGCTGCTTGTGAATGTGTTTGTGAGTCTGCAGAAACCGACGACGCTGCAGCTATGCCTGTACCTGCTGCTGCTGCTGCTGCTGCTGCTGCAGCTGCTGCAGCTGCTGCTGTGTTGGCGGGCACAGCCTGCTGCGCTTGTGTTTCTCTCTGCCCCCACCCCCACGGCGGTCGCTGCGCAGCCAGTGCAGGGGGAACGAAGCAGTCGATGCCTCTGCGCCTTCTCGAGAGAAGCCGCCGCCTTTTTACAGGGGGAGGGGGCCAGGGCCGTGCATGCAGACAGAATACAGAAGGTAGAAGAGGCAGCAGCAAAGGAGGAACCACTGGGGGTTCTGCTGCTCCCTCTGTGCTGCTACTCCACCAGCTGCTATCCTCTGCTGCTTCTGCTGCTGCTGCTGCTGCACGCGCCCGCCATCCAATTACATCATTCGACTCAGTACACCAACCAGGAGAACCTGCGCAGCTCTCCTGCTGCTGTTGCTGCTGCTGCTGTTGCTGCTGCTGCTGCTGCTGCTGCTGGTGCTGCTGTTGCTGTGGTTCCCCTTGTTGCTGCAGCTGCTCCTGCTGATGAGGCATCTGCCGCGCAGCGGAAGCAGCAGAAGCAAGCCGCCTGAAACGACGTTTAGGTTGCCGCATATCCGGTGGTTGTGTGTTGGGGTGTACGTACACCTCAGGCTGGCTCTGCGGGGGCCGCTGGGTGCTGCGCAGCCCCCCCCCAGTACTGTGAGCCCCCGCAGCTCTCTGGGGGGGAGGAGGAGGAGGGGTGTAAGCTGCTGCTAGGGTGCGCTTGTTGCTGCTCCTGCCTCTGCCTCTGCCTCTGCTTTCAGCCGCCCAGGGTCTTCTGTTGTTTTTAAGAGAGAGGAGACAAACAGAACAAAGAAAGCTGCCGCCAACAGAAGAAAAAGGAGATAAACATAAAACACAACTCGTACGTAAAGATACTGAACCCTCTCTATCACGCCGTTGATGCCGCTCCTCACCAGCCACCGCCGGGGCCCCTATACACCGCCCAGGGGCCCCCAGGGGGCCCCCACCAGCTTTCTTAGAAAATATACTACTGCTGCGGCTGCTTCTACCGCTGCTGCTGTTGCTGTTGCTGCTGCTGCTGCTGTTGTCGATGGTGCTCGCTGTCGTGCTGCTTGTGGTGCTGCAGGTCGTAGATGTCTCGAATGCATCGACGGAAACTGCTGCTGCTGCTGCTGCTGCTGCTGCTGCTGCTGCTGCTGTTGCTGCTGCTGTTGTGTCTGTTTTTGCTGCTGCTTTTGCACCGCCCGAATATCCCTCAGGCTCTCCCTCTTCTGCAGCCGGACAACAAGGCACTCCAGCGGAGTCCGACGCAGCAGCAGCAGCAGCAGCAGCAGCAGCAGCAGCAGGAGAAGCAGCAGCAGCAGCAGCGCGGCCCCTCGTGGGGTTTGTTGCGGAGCCAAATGCAGGCTGCTGCGGGGCACTGGGCTTGCTGCCGGTCAAGGGAGAGGTGCTGGCTGCATGCAGCCCCAAAGCGAACACTCCACCAACCAGCCGCTTCGGATCAGCAGCAATCCAGCGGGCGAGGATACTCTCAGGGGTTGCAGCGTGGGGGGGCTTACGCCGGGGGTCTATATCTGCCCCTTGTTTGTTAGCTGCTAGCTGCAGCAGCAGCTGCTTCTGCAGCAGCCTCAACAGCCGCCTGCGGGGAGCTGAGAGAGCTTGGGCTGCCCCGGGGTTCGGGGTCACCCAGGGAGGTGTATATACACCGCAATGCAACGGCGCCTTCACAGGAGGCACCTCTGCCTCCTGTACAGCCGCCAGAGCCTCACCTGCAGGCCGCTCAGAGCCCACCATCATACACAGGCAAGCACCCCACCCACAAGCCTAACTGCAGCCGCACACACCCAGGCGGTCTGCGCATACAGAGAGAGCAGCAGCAGCAGCTCCGCCTCCACCACCGCCAGCGACAGCAGCAGCGACAGCAGCAGCACCAGAGGAGGCAGCTGGGCTGCTGCTGCTGCTGCTGCTGCTGCTGCTGCTGCTGCTGCAGCCCTTGTAGGTAGGGGTCTAGGGCTCTGGGGCCCCGCCCGAATCCTATGACTCTGCTACCAGTTGTGAGGATTTATATACACCCCCAGCAGCCTCTGTTTCTCTCATTTATCTCTGAATATAAAGGCTGCCCGTCGACAGGGTACATGCATAGAATTGGTGCAGACGGGGGGGAGGGCCCCACAGGCCGACTTGAACGTTCAGAAAGAAACTGGAGAGGAAACAGAGAAAAAAAGAAGCAGCTGGGGTGTATATACAGCCGAAGAAGGAGAGAGAAAGATGCACGGTTCTAGCATTGAGATGCCGCTGCAGCTGAGCGGAAAGCCAGTAGCGGGGGGGGGGGGGGCNGGGGGGGGGGGGGGGGCCCGGTATCCCTTATATAGGGGTGAGAAAAGGACCTCCCACCAACAAATAAACCACAAAAAATATAATTTAGAGAAAAAAAAAGACAAAAATATACAAATGTTGCTATCCACCACCTATACTCACTCACTCTACACACACAGGCCCCACCCAACCAATACAACACCTACCGCAAGCCCCAGCCTCTCTCTCACGAAACATGAAACATGAAACCATTCAGAGCAACATTTTGTTTTATCTTGACTCTATAAAAAATATTTAATTTAATTTTAATTATATTATGAAGCTTTCTCGCTCTTTTCTCTACAGAGAAAGAATCCATGTCTAGCACCATACACGTATACCACCAGCACCAGGCGTGTTGTATACACACACACATATATACATATATATATATATATATATATATATATATATATATATATATATATATATATATATATATATATATACTTCTGGGCTCCATACGTACTAAATAAATAAATTAAATAAAAATATTTCAAGTTTCTTAGTAATATATATAAACTAAGTAATTTGAAATAGTTTTATTTAATTAAATAAATTAAATAAAATTATTTCAGGTTTTTTAGTTATAGAGATACACGTAAGAAAGATAAACTTGCAATGAACAGTAAGAGGGTGATGATGCTAGCTGGCTACTATGTAGAAGCATCATACGTACTGTTGTTTACTACGGAAACTAAATTCTTATAAACTTATAATATATATATATATATATAATATATATATATATATTATATATATATATATTATATATATATATATATAAATATAAATATATAAACTCTTGCTGTTTCTGGTGGGTGTTGCTCTCATACTATA